TACTACTACAACTGCTACTTCAGAAGTACTACACCACCACCACCACCAACAACAACAACAACAACAACAACAACAACAACAACAACAACAACAACAACAACAACAACAACAACAACAACAACAACAACAACAACAACAACAACAACAACAACAACAACAACAACAACAACAACAACAACAACAACAACAACAACAACAACAACAACAACAACAACAACAACAACAACAACAACAACAACAACAACAACAACAACAACAACAACAACAACAACAACAACAACAACAACAACAACAACAACAACAACAACAACAACAACAACAACTAGCTTTAACTTGAAGGAGATCATTATCCAAACTTGGATGGTGAGCCAATAGCACATGTACTTCAGTACATGTATATAAGAGAAAGGACCGATTTGTTACGAGTTACAATGTATGACTGGACTGAGTCCACCAATCTTTACATCAACATGGAGTATATTAGGATTCTGACTTTCCGGTTTGTCCCAATTCGTCTTCGCTTGGCTTCCCCTCTAAATACCTTCGAGCCTCTGCAGAGGTACATAGCTCGTGTTGTTCGTGGCGGTTCCCTTCCCCTCGTTGGAACTTTCCCCACCTGAGCCCTCCAAATAATTGGATGTTTGCTGGTTTGCGCTTCGTAGATGTGTTGGGGCTGGTATCAGGTCGTTGAATACATGTACAGTGTAGACTCTACCCCTGTCAATTTTGTGCTTTGTTGCAGTCACACTATCTCACTGTACATAATACATGTAGGTACATGTACTTATCTCGTTATCTTGGTAAACTGTTAAATGTTACTTCAAGTAGTTGTACTAGTAAGTAACTCGTAACAAATTCGTCCTTCCTCTCATACATGAGATCATTATCGCTTAGGAATCACATTATTCTTTTCTATCCTACGAACTGGGAGTTCACCCCTCATCAGTTGAGCTTGAGTAGACTGAGGAAGATTGTGCCTGAAGAACACCACTTATATGTATATACATGTACTATAAATGTAGTTCTCTCCAGGCCGACAAACCATCACCAAAGACCGTCGGCGCTCGGTTTCCAGCGGGACAAACACCTCATGAACACCAGATAGCAGCCGTGAGTCAGTGTCCCTCCTGTGGACGGTCAAGTGTCAAGTCAAGTCGGCGGAAAAGCGCGAGCTTCAGCATGGGTAACAGACCCTTAACACTAGTATCTTGTTTGCTAAATTTTGTACCCGTGACCGACCAGGTTAGGTCCCGGTAGACGAGGTTTAATACGTCTCCGGCTTTGGAAATTTCGCTTGTGCCAAGCCACCGCCGTGTGATGCCCTGAGGTTGAGACCAAGGTGCAGATGCAGCACTTAGCGGCGGAGGTGGAACAAAGAAGGATGATGTCCATTTTTGTAGTCTATTTTATAAAGTGCGAAGAGGAGGTTTGTAGCGACTTACTGTCACTTAGGCTGTTCTTGAGCAGAGATGTGTGTTGCTCCCTACGTGGGAGCTCTTTCCATGCCGACTTGACTGACTCCCGACTACCATCCAGAGCACAATAGAAGTCCATCGTTCTTTTCTCACTCACACGTCAGTACTGCACACATACTCACACACACACTCTCTCTCTCTCTCACATACACACACACACACACTCACACACACTCATCACAGAATAACAACTGCGGGGGGACAGCCACAGCAAGAAAACAAAAGACTTGACTGACTCCCGACTACCATCCAGAGCACAATAGAAGTCCATCGAACCTCCCACTCGGCAAACTACTGAGAAAGCACCACATTATTTCACAAGAAAGAACCACTCCCTGCTCAATACACAATGCTTCAGGGAATTCACCCCTCATCAGTTGGGCTTGAGTCAGAGTAGGCTAATGAAACACGTGTACATGTAACTTAGTTTGAGCACTGCATTTGTGCATGGACATGGAGCTAGGTAAAGTGGTTTGTGTCACTATTTTATTTTTTGTCCAGATTAGGATCAAGAACTCTCCATCCCATTGCTACATGTACTTGTAAGTACAGTGTACATGTAGATTCACTGATGAATGTAACAAGAAAACAGCTCTGCACAAAGCCTCTCTTTCCCTTTCGTTGTGTGCCTTGCGATCATCGTATAACATTTTACACATACATGTACATGACTGTCGACATTTAGGAAATGCTTACAGTGCAATTAGCTAGTTGCCTTTGCTGCTATGTTTCAATATTGTTTATACTTTTTTTACTATGTTCACATTCCCAGCTCGATAATAATAATAAAGAAAGACAATGGTAATATTGGTACTGAGACTAGGAAAAACGTGACAACTACTGAGCAGGGGCTGCACCAAGACGCAGCAGTGATGGTGGGGCATTGAATCATTGATGGTTCTGCCGACCCGAGGCCTCGGCATCATGGCCAACTAAACATATTTATTATACATTATGATTATACGTAATCGTTACCGCGTTATGAACTGGTGTAGTGGTACATGGTGGCTATTGACAGCCATGGTTGAAAGCTCTACCCTGCCTAGGCTACATCAGTCACGTACACGTACACGTACACGTACATGACATGTACATGTACAGGCGATCATCAGAAAACAGTAATGAGTAGTAGCTCCGGGTCTGGATACTGGTCGATATCACCCACAAAGCAACAAAGCGTAAATGACAGCAGTTGTGAGAGATTGCCTCATGGCATGAATTTACAAGCGAAGGGAGCCTACAGCAAGGTTGTTTGTTGGATGCGTTGCAGCTTGGCTTTCTCTCTTGCTAGGTCTGCCATCCGGTGTGTCGAGGATCACGCTCCGTTCGCCGTCGTCACTTCGACCTCGAGCCTGTCGACCTCGTCCAGCCTGAGGCTCGTCTAGCTTGGCATTAGACTGTGTTCACAGCTATTTTAGCTCCCTCCGTATTACTATTAGACTGTTTTCCCAGCCATTTTAGCTCATTTTCTTCCTGTTGAGATTGCGCTTGTGTTTATTTTGCCCGTACCAGAGGCTTGTGTATACTAAAAACATTTTTAAAAAGGTGTGAAGGAGAGCAGTGGTGAAATTAAAATGATATTACTTCAAGCGACAAGCACTGGAGCAGGTTGTCTGCTGCTTCATTAGGTGATGCCTGTAGATGGCTGAAGTTATGAAGGTAGTACTTATTCTCGTGGCGACACTCTAATTAACAGAAGTTCACTCCTCTTGTTGAGAGAGAGGTGCTTGGGTGTTTGCGCGATTTCTAATTTTCCGCCAGGCACAAGTGGCACCTTTTGCTTTTGTTTCTGTAGGCCACTGCTTCGCGGTGGACCGCCCATTGAATGCTGCATGCCTTCCCTTCATCCTTCTTGGCCCAGATGTACCACGATAGGTGGGTATCCTTCTCGTGTTGTCTGTGGCGGAATGATGATTGGTGGTTATAGTAGCGTTGTTTGCATGCTGTTGCTGCTAATCCAGTATATTCCTTCTTCTCTGTACCTGTGGGGACTCTTGCCTTATACACGTGCTCTCCATTAGACACGCCCCGTCCAGTGGACATAATAATTCTTTCTTCCGACAGTTACAAGTCCTGGTGTCTTTGTCACCTCCGTTGGCTTGTCTCTTGGATGGTAGGGTCGTGTTATTGTGTGTTTGATGATGGTGGCCATATTCTACATACAAAATTTAATATAGCTAACTTTTACGGAGTTACGGTTGAAGATTTTGTTGAGACTTGAGCCTGTAGTCTAGAGAAGTGTTTAGCCACTAGCTGGAGGAAACGATGTGCGACGTCATTGGTGGTGTTCTTGCTAAACGGTGGTCCCCGTGGATTGAACCATAAATAATATGGTTCAATCTACGGAAGAAGAAGAAAAGGAATCGCCCGCGACTCCTTTTCTTCTTCTTT